AAGTGCAGCAGCGGCAGCAGCAGCAGCAGCAGCGGCGATGGCATGTGGCTGTGGTTGTGGCTCAGGGATGTCATGCATCTCAGTGCAAGGCGTGGTCGAAGAAGCTCGCCTTTCTGCCCGCCGAGGAGGTGCAAGTGAGGTGCAGCCGACGGGTGTGATTTCGGCATTGGAACGGCTGGGTCGTAAATGCTTCGTGCCGTCCGCCCGGGCTGTGGGAAGACGCCTTTGAAATAGAGGGAGCGGATCGTGGAGTGCCGGGATGTGATGTATATACTGTACATGGTCCTTGCCAGATTTGGAATGTCCTTGCAAGGACGAGGTGGGGGTTCCTGGTGCTCCTGGCATCACCTTCTGGAATTTCGTCTGGCGCCCGGAGGGGACCTGGTTGACTAGCAGGTATGTAGTTGACTGCGCACACGCCATATTCACGCCCGACTTAGAAGTTTTGCCTGGAAGGTACACTTCCTGCGTGTCCTCCAGACAGAAGAAGACATCAAGACAGCCACGCCACTCAATTAGCATTGTCCTGTTGTTGTGTGCCTTGATCCGGCTAAGCAGATCGCAGCCAGCGCGAATCACAACTGCCAGGTACAAAGCCAGACGATGTCGCACCTCTTTTCTGAGAAAGAGCAGGATGAGCTGCGTGCTGTTGCAGCCTAAGTGTCGAGGAAAACGGCGTGCAAGGGCACACGGTGAGCCGGCATTTTCGCATTATACCCAGGTCTTCAATACATGGTGCACGCTTTCCGAAGATGTCTTTTCCTGAGTCATGTGGTAAAGCTGATGATATGTCACACGCATTTTCCTGTAGTAAAGGCAAGGATCTGAACGGAAATGGTGTGCAGATGCATGGCAGAGCTCTCCTAGGCGATTTGGCAGAGCATCCAGGGCCCCGGCTGCTAAGGCTCAGAGCGCAGAGGCGGACTCGGACATCGAGGGCATTTTTGAACCCAGCACGGGCCGAAGGCATCCAAGAATGGCTGCCAAGCTCCACGGTTCGACGCTTCAGGCTTAGAGAGGAACCCGTCGGAAGCGATTGTGGAGTCGGCTCACGCCCCAGAGAACTCGCAACAAAGAGGCTTGTGTCGAGGTGGTGGGCTTTCAGAGGTCAGATTAGGGTTTGGGGTTTAGGGCAGGTTTATGGCTGTGGTAATGAGGAGCTGAAGCTCCCCTTCAAGCGTTTGTGGAAGCTTTTGCGCCAGTTCCTCAGAGAGAGGGAAAGATCTACCGCTTCAAAGCTCGAAGACATGGAATGTTCGTGTCACCCAAGGTGAGCTCGGCGTGCCCCTGACGCCAACTCACTTGAAGCTGCTTAAGGTGGAGAGTCCTTTGTAGCTAGTATTGCAATGCCAATTCCAATTGCATTCGATATGCAGCTCAAGTCTCGTTGCATGTGCAGTCATTTGCAGGCCCGAGCAGCACTTGATGCAGAAAACGCTCTACCTGCCGGATCCTAGGCTTCTTTCAACAAGTGTAAGTCCGGTTCGCGGACACTGGTGTGAGTCGCGAAGACTCATGCAATCTCACGCATCGAATGGCAAGATCGCGCTCAGTGACGTTTAGTTTCATGTCGGTGCATGGCTGGCTCTCAGCCAATCTGAGCCGTGCCATGCATCAAACACACGTCACTGAACTTGCAGGCTGCAACCCTGCGCTGTGTCCAGGTCGAGCAGCGCGGAAGCTACATCGATTCCAGCGGTTTTTTGCGGCTTCTGTCCTGGATGCTGGACCCGGCCAGAGCTGTGAGCGTCTGCGACTGCACTGCCTGACATAGTCTAGAGCTGTCATAGATCTTTATTGTGCCGATGCGCAGCCGGCAATACCAAGAATTGCGTAGGCCTCGGCGCGGTGTGCTTTCCCCCTGTGTCCCTCTTCACGCCATTGACGCTGGCGTGGACTTGCATGACTCTGAATGCATGCTTCAGGACACCGACTTCGCCGGCATCCGAGAAAGATCTGAAGAACTAGCAGAAAACCCATATCCTGAAGAAGGGTGACGGAGGCAGGTGCTGCAGTGCGTCTGCGAAAGGAGTGGCGTTCCTCAGCTCTATGTTTCGATAGTGCAAGATCGAAAAGTTTCTTCCGACACATCGCCTGGAGAAGAGCAGGGACACCCCTGAAGTTGTGTCGTCTGTCATGAAGCAGCTCGACCAAAGGAATGTCGGGCAATCACCTTTGATACAAAGTGATTGGCAATCGATCTTGGCTTCGTCTCAAGCGTGAGCGGAGTCGGTCCAGGCCTTGTCGTGTGTAGTTCTAAGGGCCCTCGCCTGCTGAGAATTCAATTCGGAGTTCCAGAGAGAGTTGGAACAGGCAGCAAACTCGGATCAGCTGCTTGGCTTGCGAAGCAAGTCCAACTTTGCGCGGCTTGAGTTTGACGACTTCCACTGGCAGACTCGAGCTATCTAGCTTCGTGTGGCGCTTACTACCTCCTAGGATAGCGACTTTTCTCAAACTTTCGGGTCTGCCTTTGGATGGCTTTTCCTGCCCGACCTCGATCGCCAAGGGACCCCGACGAAAATCGGAACTTCGGGACTATGGGGCCTTCGGAGAGCTGCGTGTATCATCGTGTATCTGTCTTGGGCAACATTCTGTGCTGCCGGGGTCGAGAGATCGACGAACGAGTAACTCGTTAGGATGACCCCTCCATCCTACCCCAAACCTCCGGTGCGCCAATACTGCAAATCCACAAGGGCTTTACAGCAAAAGCAAACAGCACCCGTTTGGTCGAACGATGTCGAAAGATGCTGTTGTCCCTGAACTTCATCTGGCTGGGATCGTTGAATCTTGTAGATCGAAACAGGCATTTCTCGGTCTCGTCGGACGCGATCTGAATCGGAGCCTAGACTCCATAGGCCTTCCCGATCTGCGACAGGAACCGGGCAACCAAACCGGGTCGGAGGGAGGTACCGTGCGTTGCTCCGGGTCCCAGCTCCGTTTTTGTGTATGTGACATTGTTACAATATGAACATCTTCCCTTGTATCCGAGTTTGTATCATGATGTGCATCCTTCCGGAATACCTTCCATGCAGGTAGCCAAGTCGAGGATTCGCTTTACTTTGTTCAATCGCCGAGAGCGTCGGAGCCATGGCTGCTGTGGCGAGCCCCCCTCCAGCTCCGAGCGCCAGGTGTGGGTTTGTTGGGGATCTGGGGGTTGTCGAACTTCGAAGAACTGCTGTAAAACACAGGAGGCAGACTGTTGTTGCACTGCCTATAGCTTACGGGCACGGGGTCTATGTGCGGAGAAGGAGAAGCACCCGAAGATAATTCGTGGCTAGTACCTGGTTCCGACTCGCTATTTTCAGGTTTCATGCTGGTGTGGGTGGGGTGTTCAGGGCTTGCTCCAAGCAACCCTGCATGAATGAAGCACGGAGAGCTGTCTTGCTGCTGCAAGCCCAGGCGCAATTACCCGCGCGTAAAGGCAGCCGAGCGAGTCAGGCTGAGGCCGGGAAGCCAAGAGCGTCACATCCCCAGAAACCGGAGACATGTGCAGGGCCGAAGAGACTGGAAGCAAGGATGAGTTCGAGGCTTTCTGTGTCCGAAGCCCAGTCCTGGAAATGCGTTGCGTGTGCCGCAGCTGGAAGGAAAGCTTGCTGTCCAGGCACAGACGATGCCGACGGCGGAGGATGTCAGAGAGGACCTCCGGTTTTGGTGTGTCCGGTGCCTGTGCGGAGATTCATGGCCCGGGGTGGCGGCCAGGGAGGATCAGGGAGGCCTGGAAGTGTCGAGCCTACAGAGTCTACGCGAAGAAAGCTGCACGCGCCACGCAATTTCTTCACGACATGCTGTGTCCCGAGTTTGGGAACCTTTGAGTCCCTGAGGGTTTTTGCGCTTGAATCTTTCAGTTCTGTTCGGCCAGAGATCGACACGACACGGCTTGACAGTGGGAGACTCCGATTTTCACCAGATTCTTAGGATGCGTTGCAAGCATCGGGCCCATGCTACCACCACCAAGCTAGCCATTCAGTGTTCGGAAGGATGTGATCGAAAAGCCTCCCGTGGATGCTTTCCGGCACGATGCGCAGTACACGGCCGTCTTCCCAGCTGTTGCTTGTTTTTTGCTGAGCTGCAGAGGGTCGGGCACGAGTTCTCCTGCTCCATGGTGACACCGCCGCACGCGGTCGACATGTCAGGCCGCGCACATCTCCATCGCGTCCTACCGGCGAGTCATGTGAGAGCCGTCTGAAAGCAGTTGCCTTTGGTCGCCTCGATGCTGGCAATGCCAGGCCTCCCGACCCGAAGCTGGAGTTGACGGTGCGAGACACCCGGACCAGGCACTCCGCACGCAAAGGACGAAGCTTTCGGGCCATCTCGGCAGTGGCAGGCCCCTGCCGCCATCCCTGACTGCAACTTATGCGGTGCCAAGCTTAGACCTAGCTCAGCAGAGCGGGAGCTCAGTGGGAGCTCGTAGAAGTCGTGAAAGCTAATTTAAAAAAGAACATCGCCTCGCTGAGGTGCTGGAGCAGCCGCTTCGGAGCAGTGATCGGCACGGCCTCGCCCCGTCGGTGCCTTACGTGGGGATGAGAGGAAGCGACGAAGCAGAACCACAGCTACGACGTAGCTTCGAGCGCTTCTGCACGCAATACCTAGCATGATCTCGGAGGATTTCAGGTTGCCAGAGCTGTCCTCTCTTTCACTTGGCAACCCGGCAGCGAGCGCTTCGAGTTGGAATGGCAGACAGAATGTGACATGCACGCTGCTGGGCTCCAACCTGCGTGCTGACTATGTACCAGACTTGGATAACCTTTGTAATGTAGCCCTCAGACTTGAGAATATTGTGCATGAGCATTCATATTCACATGAGTTATTGTAGCTTGGTTGCGTTTGCAGCAATCATCTTTAGCAGATCGTGACAATCCCTTCAGGGTTGTTCCTCGGCCGCGCTTGTACTACACATACGAGTGTCCCTGTGCCAGCAGCCGGTCTCATGGGATGCGGTGGCAGCGTGATCTCTGCCCCAACCCCTGCTTGCAGCAAAACATCGCTGCCTTCCTACTGGCCGTGTCTGGGCTGCAGGGATCAGAATACTGTCATATACTGTCATGCTTCTCTCAGATCCTCATACTGCACTTACAGACAGATCGGACAAACGGCGCGACTTGCACTCTGTGAGGCGGCCGCCGACTTTGAGCCGTGATGCCTCTTCCAGCGAACGACTGGCATTGCTGCTGAAAGAGAGGCCCACATGTTGCCGGCATTCCACAGCTGTTTCAGGATGAGGAATTTGGGCTATCTTTCAAAGGCGGAAGCCGTGAACAACTGCTTCCACATGCAGGGTCGTAGGCAAGCTTGTCTGCATTGGCCGAACTAGCCAAGTGGGTGTTTCTATCCGATGGATCATTTTGACTGGATCGGGCCTGGTCTGTGCCGATATGGCCCGTTCCGACCCGTGTTCTGCTCCAGAAAACAGTCCCAGATGGGCAGATTGAGAGCAGCGCTCCTCCCGCCCGCCGAAACGTGGCAGAGGCCTTTCCTGGTGCAGCCGGACCACGCCCTCCACGCCTTCCTGCAGCGCTGCCAAGAGGCGCGTAGCTGATCCTAGGTGCAGGCGATTGCTCCCTTTGCTTGAAGGGTACCCTTATCATTATCATTATTATTATCATTGTTATTATTACGATCACTATTATTATTATTATTATCATTATTACTAACATTATTCTTGTTATTGTCTTCCCGGACCACTGCTTTGAGGCCATCAAGCTAGGCGAAGCCGCGGAAAATGAGGACGGGGACAGGAGTCTTCCCACCTTATCATCAAGTGTGGGTGCTGTGCCCCAGGAGGAAGCTCACGATGCTCTTGATCATCTTGATTTGCAATGGTACTGCGAAGAGCAAACGATAGCTGCAGCTTTTTCGCGCTTTGACAAGCGGCCCGGCAACCAAAGCTGGCGGGATTGTGTTGTCCGGTTTCTTCAGTCTAGCTCTCGACTCTCAGTACACTGTAGGTCCGGTCTCGACACTTTTGCAGACCTGCTTCGGGGTTCCATTTCTCAAGCTACTTTATATCCGTGCAATGCCGCGACCTTGCTATTCAGCTGGCAGGAATGGTAACGGTGCTCTTCAAGGTGCTGAGCTGCTTGGACATAGGTAAGATTGTGTGGCAGTGTCTTGCAACTCCGACTGCGGATCCCGACGGAGGATTGAATACATGCTGGACTATCTGGGTTTCCCGCATGGGGAAACAGAAGTCGGCAAGTTTATCGGCACGGTGGACAGAGATCCAGACGGGAAGACCGCCCACCAACAAGCTTTCGCGAGTGTGGAATGCATGCAGATGTATACACATGTGCAACTGAAGAGACCACAGCACGCGAATAGGCAAACGTGCGAGTAGAGACAGACATTCGCTTAGGTATACAGTAGCTACAAGCACATGTGTAGACACACAGATGTGTGTCTATGTATGTATGTCCATATGAGCGGACTGCTGTCCTTGTTGCATGAGCCTCCGCAGGATCACCCACCACGAGTTTCTTCACTGCGTGGGCCGCTTTGGTGGCTGCACCAAGTTCCTGGAGCTCCGAAGGCAGCAGATCGCGGCCCGGGGCGCTGACCTCGAAGTCTCGGAAGAGATGCGCAAGGCCAGGCCAAGAAGCCCTTGACCAAGATGCCTTTAACGTGGCGTCTATCTATTTGTCTATCCCTCGACGTACCTAAATTCATCTATCTACCTATCTAGTACACACTCGCACATAAAACCATCAAGAGAGCAAACATGGATACTGATTTTAATGTTTGTGTATACGCATGTCAATAGGGTGTTTTGCATTTATGTAGGGGAATGTAGGTAGGTAGGCAGGTAGGTATGTAGGTAGGTAGGTAGATAGACAGATAGATAGGCAGGTACGTGTGTGCAAACCGTGCCCACTTGCTCAGAAAGAAAGAACGGCATGAAGAAAGACTGACATCCCGACAGACAGAGGCAGATAGCAAGTAGGTGCTGCAGTGGCCACAGGCTGCCCCCTAAACCCTAAACCCTAAACGCTGAACCCTAAACCCTAAACCCTGAGCCCTAAACTCTAAACCCTTAACCCTGCCCTATGGAGCTCTCCTACCGCAGACATGCAGTCGGAAAAAGGTGTCCCAAAAAAAACCCTTAACCCTAAACTCCTAAATCCTGAGCCCTTCTCTAAGAGAGGACGACCTCCGCTGCCAGCTCCTGGCTGCGGGCTTTCGCGAGGAGGAGCAGGCGAGCTCTTAGTCTTATCCCCTTTTTTGGGGGTTTTAGGGGTTTTCGGGTTTTAGGGGTTTTAGGGTTCTGGGTTTAGGGTTTAGGGGTTTTGGGGTTTTAGGGGTTTAGGAGCTCTTATCCCCCTTTTTTTGGGGTTTTAGGGCTTTTAGGGCTTTAGGGGTTTTAGGGTTCCAGGGGTTTGGGGTTTTAGGGTTTAGGGTTTTGGGTTTTGGGGGTCTTAAGGCAGGTTTGAAAGGGGGCTTTTGAGGGGTTTGGGGTCTGAGATGCTAGACTGCTAGACAGGGAAGTGGGTTTGGTGAAGGAAGACGAGTGCAGATGGATAGACAGGGCTGTTCTTGCATCTCCACTCATATTCAGCTCCTGCACCCTGAAACCCATCAAGCAGATATCTGCTCGGATTACATGCCTGAAGCCTTCTTCCAGCAACCATGGAGTCTATGAGAGTCTCCATGCAGGAATCGGTCGAAGTCTTAATCGGGCGAGGCTCGAGGAGTTCGAGCTTTTGGGGGGAATCGTGGGCAAACCATTGAGAGACTGCGGAGGCCACCTGGAGGCCTCTCGTCAGCTTGGCGGACCTCGCAGCAGCGGCGCAGCTGCGGCCCTGTCAGCTCGACTCCCGCAGAAATCTCTCAAAAAGGGCTCTCACCGAAGGTAGCGTTCTTGCAACATTATTTTATATTATATTGTGTTATATATATATATATTAAAGGTTTTTATATATGATTATATGATATCGTATGGTAGTGTATTGTATACTGTCTGCTGCAGAAGTCGGGGGTTTGGGGTTCCTCTTTTCCTCGAGCCAAGGAGGCGCTGCACCACGTCCGGAGCCTGGCCCGCGCGAACCACGAGCAAGCCCTGCCGGAGCTCACGGAGCGCTTCGAGAGCCTGGGCTTCCCCGTGCAGGACCTGTGGATGGCCATGGCCTGGATCAGGCGCCAATTATATATATATATATATACACACACATTATCAAATAGAATAGAATACAATACAATATATGATAATATAATATAATATGATATAAGATAACCTCATACAATACAACGTAATGTAATATAATATAAGAAAATGTCATATGATACAATATCGTATGATATCATATCATACAATGAAGATAATATCAAACAATACAATGTAATATGATATAATACAATATCATATCATACAACATAAGATAATATCATACCATACAATGTAAGATAATATATATTAAATTGTATAGTATAATAATAATAGTAATTTACTATAATAGATTATGATATCATAGTATAGAATAGAATAAAACCTTCACATAATATAGTATAGTACATTACCAACGTTTTTTATATGATATAATATCATATAATATATAATATATACTATATCATAACATGATTTAATATAACATAATATAGTATAATATAATATTATATAATGTTATGACATAGTACAATACAGTAGAATAGAAAGGAATAGAATAGAGCAGAGTAGAATATAATATAATATAATATAATATAATATAATATAATATAATATAGTATAATATAATGTATTACATATACATATACATATATATATATATGTATATATATATATATGTATGTATGTATGTATGTATGTATGTATGTATGTATATATATATATATTGATGCATATGAATATATATATATATAGATATGTAGATATTCATATACAGATATTCGTTTATAGTTTTCATGCAGTATCATATGACATGTGAAATATGGTTTGTGATGCAGGGATTTACTGCGCTTCAATGCATGACCGCCATGCAGGGAGCTGGCACCGGTCATCCTCCACATAGACCTTGACAGCATCACGCCGTTTCTCAAGAAGGACACGCACTATCGAAACCAGTTCGAGAGCCTCGGATCAAGTAAGAGAGTCAAGCTTTGCAAGCCAATCAACGACTTGCTCGTTCCCAGCAGCATGGTGTTCCTGCCAGCATTAAGGACCAAAAGCTCTCGTGGTTTGTTGAACCTGGAGGTCCGGACGAAGTGGGAGCGATCACTCTTCGGAGATGCTTACGAGAATGCAGAGCCCTTCCACCGACCCAAGCAACGAGTCTCCACCAGAGAATCCATGGGACAAGCATAGGCACCAGCTTGCAGGAGTGCTGGTAAGACATGTTTTCAAGAGAGCATACGTGGGAGTTTCTTTGGCCAAGGTATGGTGTGTTGAACGTTTGGAGCCTCTGCCGCAGACCTTAGAGATGCACATAGTGCTGTGTCATATGGGCACCGTCAGCTTTCGGGTAGGCTCTCTGCTTGAAAGCGAAATTGATTTTCCGGCAAGGTCTGCCAAGAACCCAGAACGGACGAAATTGCTTACCCCCAAGTAGCCCTTCCGACTGGACTGCGATGACTTTGTCTCGCCAGTCCCGCTCCTTTTTTGGAGCTGGGGGACAAGGTAGCACAAGCTCAAGGCAAAGCGTTCCCATCATGGCGGGGATCTTCATGAACCTGCACAGCAGGTGATTCACATGTACACATTCAAGTGCTTTTGAACCCCATACTTCTCTGCATGATCGAGTTGGAAACGTGCAGCAGCTGGTAAAGGCTTCTTTCTTAGGATGGGCGTTTGAGATCCGAGGAACGATCCACAGGGCGTGTACGGCTGCCAGCAGTATGGCGATTCCTACCTCGTTCTGAAGGTGCGCTGTGATGGCTGGGATGGGATAGCTCGCTTGCGCTTTTCAGAGGGAATCTCTGAGCTGCAGACACAAGGAAGACACGAGCATCTGCTCAGTGACTTCGGAAAGGGGCGTAGATATGGGAAGTAGGGAGCAGAGAAGGGGAGAAGTGAAGGCTTGCCTCGGACAGGCCTCGGAAACTCTTAGAGAGGCCTTGATTACGGAGTTCTGCAGCAGAAAGTTGTGATTCCTGAAGGCTGGTGGTAGTAGGTGCGCAGAAACAGAGGAGTGGGCCCCACGAGCATCCTGAAATCTGTGTGTCCGGGCTTCTGCTTGACAGTCCCGCATCAGGATGTCCGCTTGCGCTGCACATTGGCGCCGCAGGCCTGGTGGCTTAGGCGATGAGTCTCCTGGTCCGTGCCACCGTGCAGTGGAAGAGACCTGCAGTGGTTGTGGGACCTTACGACTTGCGGCTTGCCAGCTCGAGCGTTTTTGCCGATATTGCCGGAAGCACCAACTCCAAGACATGAGAAGTGCAAGACACTTAGCATGCTGTGCAGGATTCCGGTGGCCTCCAGGCCCAGAGACTGGCGGTGCTGGACTTCTGCGCGCACTCCCTGCTGGAGAGGGATTCGCTGAACTTCTCATGTGCGCAGTTGGAGTAGCTGTGGTATGGATTTGGCGTCTTTCTCACGCCTGGAAAGAGACATGAGCACGTAGCCAGGAGCAGTCAAGATCCAAGCTTATTCCGTAGCATAAAGCGGCTTGCCCTGAAGGAGTACAGCGACGACGAGTTGCGCGAAATGGTTTATTTGGCAAAGAATGGGCACGAGAAAGTCGGGGACTCGAAGGCAACCTGGATGCTTGGATGCTTGCTGTCGCACATGCCATACGTAGCTGAACGAGAACGACACGTGGGAGCTTCTCGGGCCTTGTGGTACTAGCCAGGCAGTCTGCCAACAATGGGGCAAGTACAAGGAAGTGCAACTCCATGGTGAGATCGATCTTGCGAAGCGGCTTGGCGGAAAAAGTTGAGCTGGCGGGATACGGCAGGCTCTGACAGAGCCAGGCAGTGATTTGCCAAATGATCAGTGGTGCAGTCCAGGCATGTCGAGCGAATTGTCATCCATGGCCGACACAGGAGGCGTGAAAAGATATACCAGGCACGCTATCGAGCAGGAAATCCAGCGCATCAGACTGGACATGATGTCTTCTCCCTGGCAGGATCTTGCGCAGACCAAGGGGTGGCAGATCTCATGGGTGGAGGACATGGAGCAGGAGCTGGAGGTGGCAGATTCCCAGTGAATCCAATTAAATCAGCAGCAAGCAGCCTCCAAACTTAGCCGAAGAGTCTTCTTCGCAAGGGACAGCACCCATTCCGTCAACTAGTAGACAGCGGAAAGCCCGATGTTATTGAACACACGCTTTCAAAGACTGAGCAACCTGGCACGCTCGTTGCAACCAGTGTCAGGCGCGAGCAGAGGGTCCGGAGAAAACCCGCGAAGAGCCGCTCGGAGTCGTTCCACGATTTTTAGGGTGTACGGTTTAGAGCTCAGGGGTGCGGATATCAGCTCTTGCACGGCAGCCCACCTCATTTCCAGGTTCGATGGCATTCTCGAGAGGATTGCCTCCGGAGATGAGCCGAGCCAAGCAGCGGACCAAGCAGCGGAGCAGGAGGCCGGACGCCGCACTTCTCTTCGCTGCGCTGGGAATTAGCGTGCTGCAGAGGCTGAGGCACCGGCACAGCTGAGCTGATCGGGGCGCAAAGTAGTCCAAATGCTTGCTGGAAGCTCTTATCCTTCATGTGGAATAGGCTTTAAAGTGCAAGTTTCACTCAGAGAGATCCAACGCCCGCGAAGTGGGACGGTTTCAAACACCTTCTCGAATTGCAGGGTGCAGAACTTTGAGAGGAAGCATGTCTTGGATGTGTGGCAATTCATCCTGCAGCTACTAGTGCTGCTATGAGGGATGCCGCTGGCACCAGTGCCAGCCCCACCAGCACTACCCCTCCTGCAGCAACGATCATTGTGTGACCAGCTTGATCGCGACGACCAGAACCGCCCGACCGCCACAGCTATTACAGCCACCACAAGAGCACCGCCAGCAGCAGCAGCAGCAGCAGCAGCAGCGCCGCCGCCGCCACCGCCGCCGCCACCGCCACCACCACCACCGCCACCACCACCAAGCGAGCAACACACAGAGCGTTGGTTTTGTACACCATCTACATATACATATATAGATAAGCAGGGGTACATTTTTCTAGCAGCACACTTGACATACACAAACATAGGTACACGCACAAATACATGCACATGCCCCTGCTGCATAAGGCAGATCTAGATTGCACTGCATCTCTCGCAGGATATGTCGCGAGGGCATAAGGTCTAAGCTGGAGTTGGCTCTCCTCCTAATCTGACCTAGATGGTGTCAGCTTAAGATTTGGCATCATGCTGGCGGTCTGCAACCTACAGTATGTACCATGCGCCAGGTTTCAGACAGAGCCGTTTCTGTTGCAATCAGCAGTTGCGATTAGAAAAGACCAGCCAAGGCCTGGACACCCGTCCGATCAGTTCTACGATGCAGCAGCTGCTCGCGTGCCGCCCTGGCTCCCAGCTGCCTTGCTTGCGAGTGCAGATTTCTGCCAGACATCCATATAATATAGTGTATTATAGTATGTTATTGTGTATTATAATTATATATATATATATATGGGGGGG